TGTCCAGATAGGATGTAGATGAAAACCTCTGTGCAGTTCACGTTCGGTTCCTATCAGGCTATTCTGAAAATAATCTTTAAAAGCTAGTGTTCTGGGGCGCCTGGGTGGCTCAGTTGGTTAAGCGACTGCCTTCGGCTCAGGTCATGATCCTGGAGTCCCAGGATCAAGTCCCACATCGGGCTCCCTGCTCAACGGGGAGTCTGCTTCTCCCTCTGACCCTCTTCCCTCTCGTGCTCTGTATCTCTTATTCTCTCTCTCTCAAATAAATAAAATCTTAAAAAAAAAAAAAAAAGCTAGTGTTCTGCTTGTACTGCTGATTCCAACTAGTTTTGCATAATTGATCAGATAGAATTTGTACAATCTGAATCAGAGGCTTTGAAGCATCAAAGTATTCAATATGCTTTTCTGTTTCCTAAGTAAAAGTCTAGGTCACTCATATTTTCTAATGTTATTCTAGATCTTCTAAATCTTTCACTCAGGCTGGAAATGAGCTGTGGAAATGTTTTAACTTTTAAAATTTGGAGTCAACAGGAGGCAATTCACTTTAAGAAAGTGACATTTTTATCCTCTAATATTGTAAACATTTCAAAATTGTGGGCACTGGGTCAAATCTGTTTCTTCCTATATTTATGGGATTTGTAGGTGGCAAATAACTGTGAATTAGTTTGACTTGGTTTTCCTCCCTTCTCAGTTTTATAACTGAATGCAATACAAGTGCAAATGGGTCAATGATAATTTTCTTTTCCCCCCAAAATGTCTCTAGTCAGTACTTACAGTTTTCAAAAACTTTATTAATTACAATAAATATTAAGGATTAAGTTCATGCGAAAGAAAACACAGTAGTTTAAATTATTTCTGGAACATCTGGATTTTGTTAAGAGGTGAAAGGTGAGTAACAAGTCTGTACACGTTAGCAAAGGAAGGTCAGTTTACTAATTTTTTCTCTAGAACAGTAGTTCTCAGGGTCAGCAGTATCTGCATCACCTGGGAACTTGTGAGAAATACATATTCTTAGCCTGAACCCCAGACCTACTGAGTGTAGTGGGAGGAAAAGCAGAAATCTGTTTTTTCAGAAGCCCTCCAGGCAATTCTGACATAGGCTAAAGTTTGAGGCACACTGGTATAAGGGAAAAAAATGTATGTTTCAGAGTACGAAAAACATGGTTTCAATTCCAAAGCCATGTGATTTTAGACACACCATCTATTTCCTGGTCACATCACCAGGTTTCCTGGTTAATAACTTATCCCCTTAGCTGGCTTCATGAGTGGATAAATACTATCTACATGATACTTGTTTATTTTTTATACTGACAGTGTCCCCCCTCCAAGTGACTTGGATGCATGTTTAAGTTTGAGAACCATTGGTTTATGAGATGCATTATATTGAAAGCAGACCAGCTACAGAACTTGTTTGTTTTTTTTTTTTAAGATTTTATTTATTTATTTGAGAGAGAGAGAGAATGAGAGATAGAGAGCACGAGAGGGAAGAGGGTCAGAGGGAGAAACAGACTCCCTGCTGAGCAGGGAGCCCGACGTGGGACTCGATCCCGGGACTCCAGGATCATGACCTGAGCCGAAGGCAGTCGCTTAACCAACTGAGCCACCCAGGCGCCCCCAGCTACAGAACTTGTAGTGCTCAATGCAGAATTAAAATGCAGGGTGCCTTGTTAAAAAATGAAGAATTTCAAGACAGTGACAGAAGAGCAGTTAAATCAAGCATTTGAAGTGCAGAGCCCTATTAACCCAAGAGCCTACAACTACACAGGTCCAATGCCTAAAGAGTAGTTTCTCCTCGTATCTAAACACATCTTTTTTTTTTCAGATGGAAATAATACAATGCCATGAAAGTAGGCCATATTTTCCCCTCAGACACTACCAATCTTCCCTTCTGAGCTGTCACCCCCCATAGACAGATCATGCTCATTAGCCTCCCATTTTTGCTCACAGTTGTCTTCCTTTCAGCTATCCCAATGCAACTGTACTTCAAGACCCAACTTAAGGTCACCATCCTCCAAGACGTCTTCTCTTACTACCTTAATTTACTTAACCCTTTCTAAACTTTCCTAGTATTTTTAATGCCATTAATTTAGCTTTTTCTAAAAAATTAATAATTGCTGGTCATTGTGTTTATCTTGTTTCTCGAGTTAGAATATAAACATCTTAAACACTGAGGTGGTGTCATCATCATGCAATGGAAAGAGCACAGGCTCTTGAGCTTAATAAACCCTGGGTGTAAATTCCCTCTCTCATTTACTAGCTACATTACAGGTAAATTAATTCACTTTTGGGCCTCAGAATCTTCATTGGAAAAATGGGATGATAAGATCAGCTTTGTTGGGTTGTTGTGAGAATTAGGAGAGATAATATATATAAAACCCTAGACATATATAAGTGCTCTCAAATATTAGTTCTTCAATGCAGATATATTGGATGTATCCTGCCATATATCTGATTTTGCTTCAGCAAGCAGATGAGGGCTGAACATGAAGTCACTATTCAATAAATATTTGCTCACTGGAAATTGCCTGTATTTAATTTTTTTATGTATTATTTTACATGCACCCAGGAAATAAACCAATCCTGTGGTGAATTTTGTATAAAATGTTATCTCTGACTTCTTTGTAAATTCTTGTATTCATATGCTGACTTTTGCAAAAAATAAAAGTTTAATTTTGTACAATATTTTATATTGCTACACCTATTAATATATTATCTTACATGGGTAAAAAGAGGAATAGTCTTATTTCCAATGAGGAAATAGGGAAGGGATTACACAGACAGAATAAGGGATTACTCTAAATTACACAGAACCAGTGTAATTTAATATCCACTGAAGTGTCCTTGAAGCTGGGTTTAAATTCAAATATGCTGACTCCTTGTCCAATTTTTCCCCCTACTATATCAGACAATCTCTGGGAAACAAGAATATACTTGTTAAGTATATGCAGAAATAATTATTTTAATTTATTAGAAGAGCGCATGTGAAACTATGTCTTTTTTGCTAGGCATACAATTGGCATTCAATGTTGAATTAAAAACAGCGTGTAACATGCAGAAGAATGAAACTCGACTATTTTCTAACACCATTCACAAAGATAAACTCAAAGTGGATGAAAGACCTCAATGTGAGACAGGAATCCATCAAAATCCTAGAGGAGAACATAGGCAGTAACCTCTTTGACATTGCCCACAGCAACTTCTTTCAGGATACATCTCCAAAAGCTAGTGAAACAAAAGCAAAAATGAACTTTTGGGACTTCATCAAGATAAAAAGCTTCTGCACAGCAAAGGAAACAGTCAACAAAACAAAGAGGCAACCCACAGAATGGAGAAGATATTTGCAAATGACACTAAAGATAAAGGGCTGGTATCCAAGATTTATAAAGAACTTCTCAAACTCAACACCCAAAAAACAAATAATCAAGTCAAAAAGTGGGCAGAAGATATGAAAAGACACTTCTCTGAAGAAGACATACAAATGGCTAACAGACATATGAAAAAATGTTCATCATCATTAGCCATCAGGGAAATTCAAATCAAAACCACATTGAGATACCACCTTACACCAGTTAGAATGGCAAAAATGGACAGGGAAAGAAACAACAAATGTTGGCGAGGTTGTGGAGAAAGGGGAACCCTCTTACACTGTTGGTGGGAATGCAAGTTGGTACAACCACTTTGGAAAACAGTGTGGAGGTTCCTCAAAAATTTAAAAATAGAGCTACCCTATGACCCAGCAATTGCACTCCTGGGTGTTTACCCCAAAGACACAGATGTAGTGAAAAGAAGGGCCATATGCACCCCAATGTTCATAGCAGCAATGTCTGCAATGGCCAAACTGTGGAAAGAGCCGAGATGCCCCTCAACAGATGAATGGATAAAGAAGATGTGGTCCATATATACAATGGAATATTACTCAGCCATCAGAAAGGATGAATACCCAACTTTTACATCAACATGGATGGGACTGGAGGAGATTATGCTAAGTCAAATAAGTCAAGCAGAGAAAGTCAGTTATCATAAGGTTTCACTTATTTGTGGAACATAAGGAATAGCATGGAGGACATTAGGAGAAGGAAGGGAAAAATGAGGGGGGGAGGAATTGGAGGGAGAGATGAACCATGAGAGACTATGGACTCTGAGAAACAAAGGAGGGTTTTAGAGGGAAAGGGGAAGGGGGGATTGGTTAGTCGCGTGATGGGTATTAAGGAGGGCACGTACTACATGGAGCACTGGGTGTTATACGAAAACAATGGATGGTGGATCACCACATGAAAAACTAATGATGTACTGTATGGTGACTAACATAATAAAATTTAAAACAACAACAACAACAACAACAACAAAAAGTGTGTAAGGTGCCTATTGCCGTTTCTGGTTCACTGTAGTATATAATTAAGGGTGAGTTAATATTTAAATTCCTCTTTTTGATAAACGTATTTTAATGGAACCATTTTCTCCTAATGAAAATTTAAGGGCAGGGTTTACTATTTTTAAGACAGTTTCAAATTGGGGCCTAGCATCATGTTTGAAAGCTGCTTCCCTACCCTCCCCCACCCTCCATGTGAATTATTATACTTCCTCCTTACCAGCCCAAACCACACTTTGCCTGCCCAACTGATGGCTGAAATACCCCTGAGGACTTTCTGTAGCCTCCCAGCCACAGCTCAGAAACCCAAAGCCGTTTCCACGTGAAACAACCAAACAGTCCACTAAGCCTAAGGTCCGCTACAGTGACGGCTCCTGTATAAAAGGCGAATGAGAAGGCAGCGCCCCCTTTGCTCCCACCCCCTCCTCGTCGCAGCATCCTATCGCTTCTCTTTGTCGTGCGGTCCGCGCCTGGGGTTGGTCGGAAACGGGACCAGCGCGGGACGAGCGCGCAGGGGCCGAACGCCGAGACTTGTCCATCATGTGCAGCCGCCGGTCCACCCAGCCTCGCTGCGCGCTCGGCAAGGCTGGGGGGCGGGGCCCGAGAGCTGCTGCGCCTGCGTTGTGGACGTTCTCCCGGAGCAGCAGCTGCCGCCGCCGCCGCCACCGCCGCCGCTACCGCCGCCGCCGTGTTCGGGTGTAGAATTTGGAATCCCTGCGTCTCGTTAACAATGAAGCAGAGTTCGAACGTGCCGGCTTTCCTCAGCAAGCTATGGACGCTTGTGGAGGAAACCCACACCAACGAGTTCATCACCTGGAGCCAGGTACGGGTTGAGGGCACGGCGGCCTCCGAACCCCCTGACTAACCGCCTTCTCTCTCCCTCCCGTGGGGTTGTCTCTCGCGGCCTGCGACTCGATGCCTTCTGCGAGGCCCGTGGCGCGGGGTGGCGCGGGCCCCGGCGTTCAGGCTCGCTAAGGGACTCCTTGTATTGTTCGCGCGGGGAGCCGCGGGGGTCCCGGCCAGCGCTGCTGGCTCAGGCCGCGGTGGGGGAGGGGCGGTCCGCACCGGGCGCCGCGGCCCGGGAGGCCCCGTAACGGTGCGGCCCCGTCGGCGTTCGGAACCGGCCAGGCAGGACGAAGGCGGCCGACGAGCCGAGGGCACGGGAGCCACGTTACTGCACACTCATTCTCCGTCCTCCCTTCGGGCTCGCGGATTACGAATCGCTGAGTGCATAGGCAGCCCTGGACGCGGGGGTTTGTCTGAGAAAGCTTTACCTCAGCGACCTGATTCTCTCTAAAAAATACACTCCGCTTTGCACCTGAATCTTTATGAGGAGAGCAGTCAGGAATATAGGCAAATGTTCAAACGCAGTAAACGCAGGTTACTGGTTATCAATAGGTTTCGAAATTTTATGTAGACTATGGTACATCATTCTTTGGAAATTCTGAGGCATTTGTAGAAACGCATTTTTGTGATTATTTTAATAAAAGTGCTTTAATATACACAGGTGTTTAGTAACCTAGAAGCTAAAATGAATCACTGAATTTCACTAAACTGGCTGGGAGAGTGGTATATGATGCCTTGATGATTGGTTTGATTCCCACCTCTGCCACTAAACAGGGATGACCTTAGTCAAGCTCCTTATCTTGTTTCCCCTGAGTTTCATCGTCCTTAAGATGAATGGGTTGCCTGGGTGATCCAAGACTCTTCTAGTTCCAAATACTAAGATTCTAAGCAGAATGATTATTACATAAACAGTGCATTTGCATTCAAATGCACTCTCAGGCTGTTGGAATCATTTTGTGAAGTGGGGTGGATTTTTCTTAGTGTAGATGATCATCTGTTTGGGGCATTTTCTTGTGTAGAGGGCTGGAGAAGAGTAAGTGAAAACTACCCTCACAGTGCCTGGCACCTGTTAAGTGCTGAGTAAATGTTACTTCCTTTCTTTCTCCCTTTCTTTTCATTTCCCTTCCTATTTTGGAGCTCTCAGTTTTACTTTTATCTTAAGAGGGAGTACTGTATTGAGTACATGAAGTTTTCGACAACTGTAACACCATATTCTTTCTCATATTACTGTCATTTGTTCATTTTTTTTATACCCCTCCTAGGACTTAATTTTCTTGAAGGTCAGTATCATCAGCTGGATGGTGTATATTAAGCGTTTGATGAATTCTGTACAGTTGTACAAAGAAAGGTGAAAATAAGGAAGCCAGCCGCCAGCATACACTTAAAAATAAACAGATGTCTCATGCTTTTCATCAGTCAGAAGGATTAAAAGTTGACAGGGATGGATCAGCACAGTCTGCTGTTACTCAGCCTTGTATTCATATTAGAGATTGGACTCAGAGTCTCTCCCCCACCTAAGCTGATTTTATCATACCTTTTTGGCTTGTATGGCCATTTAAAAATAATTCCTATTTATCGTATTATAAGTCTAAGCTTATGTTTTATTCATTTTCTACTACATAATGGGACAGTTGAAATATAACTTCAGTGAGGGCAGATACCATGCCTGTGCCAAGGACACAGTAGGTATTTAATAAATGTCTGATGAATCAGTGAAATCCTTAGAATGTGTAATGGAAATGGTGGGAATGATAAAGAATTATGCCTGAAAAGAATCTTAGAGATAATCCACTTTAGCCTCATCATTGTATAGATGAGGATTTGAGGCTTAGGTTAGATTTCTTATCCATAATTACAAAGCTGGCCATTATTGGAGGTGGGACTCTTAACATAGATTTCAGACCTCCCAGATCAGTCTTCCGTTATCAGCACTTCACTTAATATAGGTTGGTACAATATTTAGTGTTATATCAAAATGTTACCCTTTTGCAAGTCAGTGAACAATTCTGGATTAATGTTGTCTAGGGCTTAGCTTGGTTGCTTAGGAAGTCTGTCTCTATTACTTTCCCACAGATTTTTCCAAAAGCAGTGTTAACAATGAAATGAAAGGTAAAACTCTAAATAAACAATGATGTTAAATGGAAAAAACAAAGCAAATTACTCTCATCTTTTAGAAGTTGCTATTTATGGTTGTTTTCTGGTTTCCTTCAAATAGATTTTGCTGAATTTCTGTCAAGGCAATTTAGCATTTATACTATCTGAGTGAAAATCATATTAAGACCTTTTAGAAGCAGCAGATGTTTTGGAAACCAATCTTTTATGCAATTTTTTTTTTCACTTGTGGAAAATAATTTACTCCTCTAGCTTGAGTGTAGGGTAAGGGGAAAAAACCAACTGCAGTTTGAAAAGCTTGGCTTAATATTCCTGAAGACTTACTTATATAACTAGTTTTTCTTGAAACTTGTAGTATGACAAAAATGAAGAAAAATGAAATAACACCCCCATTCTCATGATTATAGAAATGTAATATTCTGAGCAATCAAAATTATACTAAATATGTTGTTGATTCAAACAACAGAAATGTCTTTAGATCCAGAGTGTCTTTAAAACATTTGTACATATCTTTTTCCCGTATTCTCCCCTGAAAAGGTTCTTTTTCTTTCTTTTTTGTTTTTACATTTCCTATAGCTATTTTGGCTCTGGTAGGCAGTCAATTGCCAGAATCAGGGACAGAGATAATACTGTTGGACTACCTAAAGCTGTTTTAAGTGTAACCGAGTCCTAAACAGAAGGTACCGGTTTAACTTGGAAGCAACTGCAGAAACTTGATATTCAGGGACAAGAGGTTGTGGAAGTTGGAAGTTCTTGCCATTGATAGTGAGGAACAGCCTTTACTGTTAACTGAAATTTGATAGTGTATGTTGAAGTGAAGTAGTTACAAAAGCAGGAAAGAACTGGAGGTCGTTGTTTTATTAGTGTTATTACCTTTGTCTCTGTTCTTCAGATTGTTTGAGAAGACCAAGAAATGATTTCCACTAAAGACCTCATACCCTGGGTGCCTGGGTAGCTCAGTCGGTTAAGCGTCCAACTCTTGATCTCAGTTCAGGTCTTCATCTTAGGGTTGTGAGTTCAAGCTGCACACTGAACTCCATGGTGGGCGTGGGGCCTACTTAAAAAAAAAGGGGGGGATGCCTGGTTGGTTCAGTCGGTTAAGCAGCTGCCTTCGGCTCAGGTCATGATTCCAGGGTCCTGGGATTGAGTCCCACATCGGCTCCTTGCTCAGCGGGGAGCCTGCTTCTCCCTCTGCCGGCCGTTCCCCCTGTGATCTCTCTCTTTGACAAATAAATATATAAAATCTTAAAAAAAAAAAAAAAAGACCTCATACCTATTTGGTCCACCTTTTTATGACCTTTGACATTTTCTATTTCTCCATCCCTCTCAAATCAGCAGAGACAAATGAGGAAATAGGAAGGAAATGGAGCAAAACCAGTATTGGTCTGGTGCTTTCTAGCTATTTTGGATGAATTTGAGCATCCAGAACTTGATATTTGGGTATCATTTTGAACTTCCCAGCAACCATTGCATTATTACACTATTCTTTTTTTTTTTTAAGATTTTATTTATTTATTTGAGAGAGAGAGAATGAGAGATAGCACGAGAGGGAAGAGGGTCAGAGGGAGAAGCAACTCCCCGCTGAGCAGGGAGCCCGATGCGGGACTCGATCCTGGGACTCCAGGATCATGACCTGAGCCGAAGGCAGTCGCTCAACCAACTGAGCCACCCAGGCGCCTGCATTATTACACTATTCTCAAGTAAAAACAAGAAAGCCACAGCTGTGGCAGAATAGGAGTAAAATCCACCTTAGATGAGCCTACAGAAATGTTGGAAGATTCATTGATGACTAGTATTTTTTATTTGTATACATAAGAGGGAATGAGAGAGTCAGAAGGAATGGTTGGTGAACATTAAGTTAATGGACTGTTTTAAGAAAAGTTACAAATTTCTGGGGCTCTCCCTCTGACCCTCTTCCTTCTCATGCTCTCTATCTCTCATTCTCTCTCTCTCAAATAAATAAATAAAAATAAAAAAAAAAGTTACAAATTTCTATTCTGAAAAATGTTTTAAAGTAATGGACTGAAAAATTATTAGTAAGATTATTTTGGATGTTTTTAACTTACTACCAGTTCAAGCAGTAACAACTTATTATTTGGAAGCCTGCCAACCTCTATGGGTAAAACCTAAAAAGAAGCTACCCATCTCTCCCACCTCACTCAGTAGTTGCTTTCTGCCCCTTGTGGAATGTGTTGGGAGAGTTCTGTATTGTATTACTTGAGCCTCACAGGTTTAAATGGCAGTAAGGTGGAATTTTTGCACTCAGAGGTTATCTACTAATTTTAGAGTGGAGACTGAAGGAATACTGTAAGTAGAGACACAAAATATGAGCGAATGAGGGTTGTATGAGAGGGAGAGCACATGCAGATATAAGCAAGGGGCATTCATCATTTCATTTGATATAATTCAAGAGCTGAACTTCTAAAAAGATATTTTGGTCCACTGTGGTCAACAGTTCGTTTATTTGATCACTCACAGATATTTATCATGAATATGTTGTGTCCTAGGTACTAGGAATTCATTCAGTAGTGAACAGAGTGGCTTCATAGAGCTTATATTCTAGAGGAGGACACTGATAATTAAAAAGTAAGCAAACACAGATAATATAATTTCAGTTAGTGGTAAGTACCATAAAGAAAATAAAGCAGGGTAAAGAGAGAGATCAGGGTCCAATTGGGAGACAGATGTCACATAATGTAAAAGAAGGAAAGAACTGTTTTTAAACATTTAAACAGGGAAAGTTTAGTAGAATTACTATATCAGGGGGATTGGAGTAAAAACTCTGTAAAGAATATAGATAGGAGTGGCAGTTATAAAAAGTATGATCACATCTCAATGGCAAAGAAAGCACTGGTGCCACACAGG